TCACTTGAGCTTTCTTTTCTTTTAAAGACACTTGATAATCAATTTGAACCTTAAAAGACTTGTTTATTTATGGACTATTTGGTTACTATCCTTGGCATTATGGAGCTGTGGATTTCTCGGACTTAGGATTAGAAGCCTTGATACTTGGGAACCTTGTTGCTCTGTTGTTATTCTGTCTGAAGTCCTTGGAATTTACTCCAAGGCATTGGGTTGATTTTGTTTGTGTACAGGTTATTCTGATTTTATGCTTTTTCTGTGATTGGGAATTCCTCTGTATACAATCGTTACTCTGCCCAATTTTTGTAAAGACTTAATACATCTGAGGCACAATTTCATTTGAAGCTTATTTTTATCTGAAGCTCTGTTTTATTATGCTTGCTTGGATTTTTAATCAAAGGATGGAAATTCTACATTGACTTCTTTATGACAAGTGTTGGCTTCTTGTTGGTTAGACCATCCCTTACCTTAGCTTTTACTTTATGTACATGTGATAGTCCATTTATCTCCTCCTATCTTCTTTAATTTTCAAATCTTCTTCCTCATTTTCAAAACTCTTCTTATTTTTTTAAAACTCGAACCACTTTCATAATAAACTTGGACTTAGGTCCATGAATTTTCAAAAATCTTTTCTTAATTAAACTTTAATGCATTTAACAATACTTTGACTTTTTTTTTGAAAGACTAAAAGTGATTAACCTCATTCAAACCATTTTTCCACTTTGGCATTTTACTTTAAAACTTTTCTCAAAATATTTGACTCTTGTTGATTCTTGTAGTGACGCAAACTACTATACTTCTACTATAAGTAGCGAAGAGAGCTATTTTCCACTTGGGTGTTGAGTGATGGATTTTAAATCCAAGTTATATCGTCCACTTTAAATCCAAGTTATATTGGATATGACGAGATGTCTCTTCTCTTAAAATTAACCAACACACATGTGTTTTAAAATTTTTGAGGTGAACTACAAGTACCCTAATCCTCTATTGCATGAAGGGTTATGTAGGCACAAAAGGTTCACAACCGTGGCGGGTGCAAACTTGTAAAAAATACTTCTTTTCTGATCTTTACCATTTATTTGTGTACACATATTTTATATCCAAAATACAAAGATTTTCAAAGAGGTTCTTGCAGAGTACCGTATATGTTTAGGGTGATAATACCTTCCCTTTTCATAACCAATCCCGTACCTAGATTCTCCCCTCTTTTTTTGGGTTTACTCGCTCTTTTCTCATTTCCTTTGGAAACAATAAAGCGCGGTGGCGATTTTTTTAATTTTATTTGTATGATTTAAGTTAATCCAATGGCTTAGTCTCAACATTTATATCGCTACACTCGGGCCCCTCGCAGGGAACTCTCGGCACTGCTACCTCACGATCTTCTCTACCCTCTCACTAGTAGAGTTTTTTTCCTTTCGTGGGAATCAAACCATGTACCCTGGCGTTCAAGTACATGTTCAATCCATTCCCACTACCAATTGAGCTATGTAGCTTAATTGGTACTGGGAATTTTATGTAACAGCCAGGGCCCCTCGCAAGGCGCTCCCAGCACTTCTATCTCACGATTTTCTCTACCCCCTTACTAGTAGAGCTTTTGCCTTTCATGGGAATCGAACCATGTACCCTAAGGTTCAAGTACATGTTCAATCCTTTAGTTAATGAGTTGAGTATTATTCTTGGTTGAAGCTTTTAAGTAAAACCAACTATTATTTTTAATTAAGAGTCTTAACTAAGTATTTTTATATTGGAAGTGTAATCTTCTTTTTGGGTTGTTTTTTATACAGTCATTGGGCTTGAGACTGTTAGATATCACTAAGGTGATTAGGAAGTCAGATGGGATTTCTCATGTCTAGATGGTGATTTCTAGGTAGAAGTTGCACTGGATGTGGATTAAGTTAGAAGTTGTAAACTGAGACTATTTAGATTTTGAATTGATACACCTAATAGTAGATTTCCTTCCTGGCTGGGTAGCCCCCAGAGTATGTGATATTGCACCAAACTATGTTAACAATTCTTTGTGTTATTTATCATTCTACAATTTAATTTCAGTATCACTTCCATCTTGATAAATTTGTTCTATCTGTCAATAGATGTTGTAACATATGTCTTGACATTGTTCTGATATTGGGATATCAGTATGAACATGTGTTGCTTATACCAGAAATTTCCTTTGGTATCAGAGCAGACACCCTAGTCTATTGGGTGAGCTTCAGGGAGTATTTTTCTAGTACTATTGTTCTTTTTGGAAGGCTAGAATGAAAACATTCTGGTTATCAATGGATATCAAATCTTAAAGAATTGTCAGGATAGGAGAATCCTAGTGTAACGCCCCGATATTTAATTATTTATTTAATTAAATATTTTTGAATATTTTATATTAATTCGAATTTTTATCGTCAAAGTCGGAATTATTTTATTAAGTTGAAATAATAATTAATCGGATTAATTTGGTGGAATTAAGTTGAAGTATTATTTTACTATTAAGCTTAATTATGATATTGGGCTTTAATTGGTGGTGTTGTGTAGTATTAGGGGGATATGTCACTTAGGCTCATTTGAGTTTACTAATTATTAAATAAAATAGTAGTATTATATAGAATAAATGAATTAGAGGAGAAAGAGAAGAAATAGAGTTATCAGGAAAGAAGAAAAAAGGAATAAGGGTTTTGTGAGAGGAGAAGAAGAACAAGGAAATTGCTTCCAGTGCCAAATTCTCTAGAAATTCAGTTGAAGTTTCTTAAGAGTTGCATTCAATACAAGGTAAGGGTGGGGTTCGGACTCTATAATAAGGTATTAATTTGTAAAACATGTTTAGATTGAAACCCCTAATTTTTATGGATTGAAATTATTAGGTTTGAAGAGTAATCATTGATATATATTAATGAAATTGAGGGTTTGGATACATATGGGTTTATTTGCTAGGAATCATAGATGGACATAGACATTGCATCACGTGATGATATATATGTTTTATTGGAATTAATCAGGTACTGTAGTGTCACTTCCGGGAACATATATACTGTATCACCATGTTTAGAAACCAAAAATATATATATTGTAACAACTTGATGGATATAATATCTTGGTATATACTGTAGCACAAATTGAGAATCACGTTACATAATATAATATATATTAGTTTATTTGTATATTTAGTAATAATAATAATTATTATTATATTAATAATTTAGTATTATTAATATAGTGATTTAAGAGCTGAGTTAGAAATAAGTATTTGAATAAATAGTTAATTTGGGTTAATTTCTATTCTAATAGAATGTCAATTGAGTTGTCAATAGGGTTGTGAGAGTTGTTAATAGTGTCGTTAAAATTATCAATAGAGTTGTTTTAAATTATTAAAAGTCACTTTTATTTGTTTTACGTAATTCCAGTATATTTAGAGTTGTCAGTAGGGTAAGTTGAAGTGTCCAAATAATAACACATCTTTACTAAGTTATTGACATTTTAGTTATGAATTTTTAGTTAAATTCAGTAGCAGGAAATTATGAATTATCTGTACCTTTTGTCAGTATATACACCTACTGTAGACTAGGAATTAATTAGTGTAGGATAGCATTGTAGCATATCATGTATATGCAGTATCTTTTTTTTGTAGATATGATCATTTGGAAGGTTAGTGTAATATTGTTTTAAACTAAAAATCATATTCAAGTTTATATATATATATATATATATATATATATATATATATATATATATATATATATATATATATATATATATATATATATATATATATATATATATATATATATATATATATATATATATATATATATATATATATATATATATATATATATATATATATAGTATAATTTAGTATGATTATATTGTAGAAGTTTTATAAGTAGAAATAATACAATTTTGTCTGATAATTAATTAATCAGTTTTAGTTGAAATAGTCCAAATAATTACGCGGTTTTTTTGTAGTAATTTTTGATTGATCTGTTAGGTGGTGTTTTTGTTGAAAAATGTGATTAGCAGGTGATTTTATTGCCTCTATTTATGGGGAAAATATTAAGTTGCAGGCTTATGGCCAATGTTGAATTAAGTTGAATTATTGTTGTTGTTGTTATTACGTTCATGTCGTTGATGCATACATAGCATATCATGTTGGAGCTAATGCTCGTCAAGTTGGCCTGGATTTAAAAATATAAAGTTGAAGGTTTATGCCTTGTTGATGCCTTTATTTATTGGCAGATTTCTAAGTTGGGAGTTCTGCTCCATTGGTACCACATGCATGTGCATAAAAACGAGTCACATTTCATGTTGCATCCTGAGTTATCGTGTGGAGGAATTAATTATGTTAAATATTGATAAAAAGTTGTGAAGTGGTGAATTGTATGATCTAATACTAATATACTATTTATTGTATATCCGATTATATGGTTCGATATATCACCCCTTCTGTTTGAATATTTCCCTCTGTTGGTAACGTGCAGGTAATCAAGAAGGATAGTTGTTACCTTCGTTAGTTCGAGTCGGTGTTGTCGCTCTGATACGTAGCACTCGGGGGGATGAAAGCATGTTTTCCTTATTGTTGATTTTCATTATATTGCTGAGTTTTTAAGTTGTTTTCATTAAAGATTTATTGTCTTAAAGTTGTTTTGAGTTGGACAAGATGCTATGGTGTTTTCAGTTGAATTTTGTGAATCTGCTACGTAGTAATGAAATTTGTTTTATTTTTAAAGACCAAACAGGTTGTTATCGGTTCATCTGAATTTCCTGTGTTATGTATCTGAACTATAGATGATTGAATTTCGTGGTTTTAAGTTGAAAGTGTAGCATTCCATTTGTTTGTTGGAAATTTTGATAACCCTGATTTTATTTAACTCGTTGGGTAGAAATGGGGTGTTACGTTAGTGGTATCAAAGTAAGTCGGTCCGTCCGGTCAAGTTGTCGAGTCGTAGTTTTGTCTAACAATCGAGCATTGTTAATCTAAATACTAATTGTTGTTAATGTTGTAGATATAAGTTGAGATGGCTGGAAGGAATGATGTTGCACTTGCTGCTGCTCTGCAAGCAATGGCTCAGGCTATGCAGAATCGGCCGAATGCTGACGAGAATTTTGGATCTCGCAGTTTGGCGACCTTCCAAAGGGAGAATCCGCCTACCTTCAAGGGTAAGTATGATCCTGACTGAGCATTGGATTGGCTGAAAGAGATTGAGAGAATCTTTCGTATGATGGACTGCACTCTAACGCAGAAGGTTCGTTATGGTACTCATATGCTAGCGGTCGAGGCTGATGACTGGTGACAAGAGACTTGTCAAAGATTAGAAGTTGCAGGTAAGAATGTCACTTGGGATGTATTCCGTAGGGAATTTCCGAGGAAGTATTTCCCTGAAGACGTTCGTGGTAAGAAGGAAATTGAGTTTCTTGAGCTGAAGCAAGGGAGTATGTCGGTTGTTGAGTATGCTGCAAAGTTTTATGAGTTGGCTAAGTTTTATCCGCACTATAGTGAGGCAAATGTTGATTTTTCAAAGTGCATCAAGTTTGAGAACAAGTTGCGCCCAGAGATCAAGAAGGCAATTGGATACCAGAAGATTCGTGCCTTTGCTGATTTGATTGATAGTTGCAGGATTTATGAAGAGGATAATAATGCTCACTATAATATTATCAATGAGAAGAGGGGTAAGCACCAACAGAACCGTGGTAAGCCTTATGATGCCCCAGCTGGTAAAGGTAAACATAAGGTTTCTCAGGGTCAGAGGACTAGTGAGGGAGATGCTCCTGCTAGTGTGGTGTGCTTCAAATGTGGAAAACCTGGTCATAAGAGTAATGTGTGTGCTGCTGAGGTGAAGAGGTGTTTCTGTTGTGGTAAGACTGGACATGTTGTATCTGAATGCAAGCATAAAGAGATGTTTTGTTTCAACTATGGTGAAGAAGGACACATTGGTAGACAGTGTCGGAAACCAAAGAAGGCTCAAACTAGTGGAAAAGTGTTCACTTTGGCTGAGACTCGGATATCTAGTGAGGACAGACTCATCAGAGGTACATGTTTCATTAATAGTATGGCTTTAATTACTATTATTAATATCGGTGCTACTCATTGTTTTATTGCTACTGATTCTGTTGAAAGATTGGGTCTTATGTTGTCTTCTATGAATGGACAAATGGTCGTCGAAATTCTGGATAAGGGATCGGTGACTACTTCTCGTGTGTGTTTGAATTTCCCTTTGTCGATCTTCGGCAAAGACTTTGTTGTTGACTTGATTTGTTTTCCATTAAGAGGATTGGATGTGATCTTGGGTATGAACTGGTTAGAGTATAACTATGTTCATATCAATTGCTATGACAAGTCTGTGAGGTTTTCTAATGCTGAAGAGGAAGGAGTTGGTTTGTTGACTGGTAAAAAGTTACGGAAACTGATGCAAGACGAAGCGCAGATGTTTTTGTTGATGTCGTCGTTATCAATGGAAAACCAATTTAGATTTGATGAGTTGCAGGTGGTGTGTGAATTTATTGAAGTGTTTCCGGATGAAATTCCTGGTGTACCGCCAGAAAGAGAAGTTGAACTTACGATTGATCTTGTACCTGGTACTAGGCCTGTTTCTGTGGCACCGTAAAGGATGTCTGCATCTGAATTGTCTGAATTGAAGAAGCAGTTAGAAGAGTTGCTTGAGAAAAAGTTTGCAAGAGGCGTTGGGATCCAAGTTGAGGTTGAGTTCGGTGTATCATCCTCATACGGATGGTCAGACCGAGAGGACTATTCAGTCATTGGAGGATCTGTTGAGAGTATGTGTTCTTGAGCAGGGAGGTTCGTGGGATACTTATCTTTCATTGATTGAGTTCACTTACAATAACAGTTACCATTCTAGTATTGGGATGGAACCTTTTGAGGCGTTGCATGGTTGGAGGTGTAGTACTCTATTGTGTTGGCATGAATTTGGTGAAAGTGTGGTACTTGGACCTAAGATTGTCCGAGAGACTATTGAGAAAGTGAGGCTTATCTGAGATAAGATGAAAGCTTCTCAAAGTAGACAAAAAAGTTACCATGACAAGAGAATGAAAGATTTGTACACTACTAAAAAAATGACATTTGAGAAAACGTCTTTACATTAGGTATAAAAATAACTGATGTAAAAAATAAAATTTAAAAGTTATTACACCAGGTATTAATTTCCAATCAATGAAATAAAAAATATTCTTTTTTATTAGAAAATAAAACACGGTGGCATTTTTGTAATTATGGAGAAAAAAATTTCGCTGACCTATTACATCGGTTCTGGAGAATAACCGATGTAAAAGAATTTCCGCTGGCCTATTACTTCGGATATTCTATCAACCGATGTAATAAAGTGATTAAATTTAATAAAATAAATGGAATTTATTACATCGGGCCACGTCATACCCGATGTAAAAACCCTGCCACGTCAATACTTTTGCATCGGTCCACGTCATACCCGATGTAAAAACCCCTCCATGTTCATAGCTTTGCATCAGTCCACGTCATACCCGATGTAAAAGATATCATATAAATTTTTAAAACCCCTGACACTGTTCATTTCCCTTTTCTCAGAAAAACCCTATACACGCTCTAAACCACAAAACGTCTCCCTCCCTTTGCCGTCACTGTTCTCCTCCCACGAACCCGCCGTCTCTCCACACCATCTCCGCCGTCTCTCCACAAACCGCTTCCTCCCTTCGCCGCCCACAAACCTGCGTCACTGTTCAGCCCACAAACCTGCCGTCTCTGTCGTCTTCTCCACACCTCCGCCGGTTCGTCTTCCTCCGCCAGTTCGTCTACCTCCGCCGGATCGTCTTCCTCCGCCGGTGCGTCTTCCTCCGCCGATTCGTCTTCCTCCTTCCGGTAAATCGCCTTCTTTTTCAACTTTTATCATTTTTTTCCCGGTATTTTCTTTCTTTGTTCTTGAAAATTTGATAGTTTATGAAAATTTTACAGTAAAATTCAAATGAAAACTTATCCCAAATAACTCATTGATTAATATATTCTCAAGACATACACGATAAAAATAATTACAATAATGACATCAGTGGTAGATTTGTTGAATAATGAAAAAAGAAATAGAAAAAAAACTAAACCTTCTCTGTAGAAACATAGTGGCTAGCGATTAAATCGTCAGTGGACTCGAAGAGGTGGCATGTTTGTACTGCTGGGCGAAAGTGGCGTCTGAGTGTGATGGAGGGAGTATCCGCAAGGAGTTTGAGGATGAATGGAGCATATGGGTTTCAGTAGTGTTGAGGTAAGAGGCAGGCAGAGGATACTGATGTTGTTTGTTGTTTGTTTGAGAAGCAACAAAATCAAAAGCCGGAGGGATGTGTTACACGGAGGATTGGGGCAGGCCAGAAATAGCATGACGGGCTACGGCTGGTGGTTGGTTCGTCGGACCAAATACACAATCAGAGGGTGTTAGTTGTGGAGAATTATCGACGGTGTTGATGCGTTTTCGACGAGTTGTGTGACGCTCCCTGTCGATCGGAGGGGTGCGAGGTCGGATCGCTTCTATTCCTCTTTGTTCTTATTTTCTTCTTTCGGTTGGAATAGTAAAATACCTTCACTGTCCAATTTTACATGCAGCATAATAATCGATACCCACATATACACAAAAAAAGTTATGGCTTACGGAGATACGAAAGCGGTTGTTGTACTCATCGGAGAATTGATGTTGTTGTTTGCAGATTTGTTTTGATTTGCAGATTTATATCCACTCCCTTTAGTTATTTCCCTGTCATAAAAAAGAAGAAAAAACAAAATATTGTTGTTATCATATAGAAAGAATTTTCTATAGTTTTCTTTTATATCTTTGTAATGCAGCAAGGTTAAGTGTTACTACAGGTTTCTGGCTGGAATTTTGCAAGTGGTTCGTGGCTGGTTTGACTTTGTTGTGTATACTACATGGTTTGTTCATGTGTAGAAAATATGTAAGCAAACTTGAAAAGTGAAGGAAAGTATGCCCAGTATTAAAAAATATGTATGAAGTTCTTTTTCTTTTGGCTTTTTGTGAAAATAGGGATTTAGATCTAAAAGATGCTGGTAAAAAAAAGCTGTAAGTTAGTAGTGCAATATAAAAAAAAAAACAAATAAGCTTTTGACTGAAAAGGAAGGCTTTTGGTTAAACGTTACATGAATGAAAGTGTCATTAGCGTATATGAATTGGCTTCACGAAAAAAATGTTAGCATAAAGGGATAATGAAAACAACCATCCAATAAGTTAAAATTTTAAAAAGATTACAAATACTAGGGGTCTCATATTTGAACCCTCGGCAAAAAAAATCACCAATAGTATTTGCGAAGAAAGTGTGTGTAAAATCATGGACTTCGTGAGTGATTGTTTGTAATTGTCTGTTCAAGATAAAAACAGGGTTAAGTGTCTGTTAAAGACAAAACCCGAAAATAAAACCAGAAAAGTTTATCGTGTATGTCTTGAATTGGTAATTAATAGTTATGTGATTTTTTATTGGCAAATAAATTTAATTATGTGATGTTTGTATTAGTTCTTTTGGAGTTCATCAAATGGCAAATGGAAATAGAAAAAAGGTTACATGGATTCATCCCAATGTAAGTGTGATGTAAATTGTAATTTTATAGTTAAATTTATGATAAATATTCATTAATCGTGTCATTCAATTGTAGACAAGACAACAACATAACTCTAATGATTGTGGGTATTATGTGATGAAAAATATGTTGGATATTGTCTCTGCCAATATAACCGAGAATTGGATGCAGGTAATAACAATAACTTTACTTTGTTATTTACTTTGTGTTTTGCAACTTATTTATATTAAATTTTAAAGAATAACTCTATTGTTATATTTATGTATTATAGGTATTTGATGACCCAACAGAATTAACACAAGATGATTTGTATGATTTACGACTTCGTTGGTCAAAATGTTTCTTTGAGTTATATAAAGATTAACCTTTGTCTGGTGAGTTTTATAGAAAGATTAACCTTTATATGGTTTTTGCAAATGCATTGAGTTTCTTGATAATTTTTGCTGATGTTAATTGTTATTATTTATTGTCAGACAATGTGATTTTGGTGTTGTCTACAGAAGCTACAACTCATCTACTTATGAATTTTATATTGGTAATTCAAGTTTGTAAAAAGACTTGTAAAAGGTTGAATATTTTTGTATGTTTTGTGGTATTTGTAAAATTGATGCGAGTTTCTTTGTTGTGATACAATTCAAGTTTGCAATATAATTGTTCATTTTGTAAATTTTATTGTGAAAATATCGACCTAGATATGGTCTATTTTATGTTGGAAAGCTATGATATATATAGCGACCTAAATGGTCTGTGTGATATTGGAAAAATATGAAAAAATTGGTACTAATTTTTTCTTACAGGGAATCATCCAGAAAATAAATGTTTTATTCAAAAAAATTTTTTTACTTTTTACATCGGTCATTCTGCCAACCGATGTAAAAACCTTCAATGTGTGTTTTCTACATCGGGCACAGTGTAACAACCGATGTAAAAACCTCATCTATTACATCGGTCATGACTTCCACCGATGTAATATGTTGCGTTAGTTTTCAAAAAAAAAATATTATATTTATTTTTCACATCAGGTATATATTATAATCGATGTAAAAGGTGTCCTTTTCACATCGGACCCAGAACCGATGTAAAAGATCTCTTATTTACTACTTCTCCTGACTTTACAACGGACCAAGAATCGATGTAAAAGGTCAATTTCGCCCGATGTAAAAAGTCATTTTTGCACTAGTGGTAATTCCAAGTTGGTGATCATGTGTTTTTGAGAGTCACATCTATGAGTGGTGTTAGGCGAGATCTGAAGTCTAAGAAGTTCACTCGTCGTTTTATTGGTCCGTATCAGATATCAGATAGGGTTGGGAAGGTTGCGTACCGAGTGGCATTACCGCCAAATCTTGCTAATTTGCATGATGTGTTTCATGTATCGCAACTCCGGAAGTATATTCTCGATCCGTCTCATGTGATTCAGATGGACGATGTGCAAGTATGGGATAATCTCACGGTGGAGACGACGCCTGTGTGAATCGCAGATCGCGAGATGAAGATTCTAAGAGGAAAATAGATTGCATTGGTGAAAGTTATCTGGTTATGAGCTGCTGGAGAGAGTATGACCTGGGAGTTGAAGAGCAAGATGCGAGACTCATATCCCGAGTTATTTGAACCAGGTAAACTTTTATTTTCGAGGACGAAAATATTCTAAGTGAGAGAGAGTTGTAACGTCCCGATATTTAATTATTTATTTAATTAAATATTTTTGAATATTTTATATTAATTCGAATTTTTAACGTCGAAGTCGGAATTATTTTATTAAGTTGAAATAATAATTAATCGGATTAATTTGGTGGAATTAAGTTGAAGTATTATTTTACTATTAAGCTTAATTATGATATTGGGCTTTAATTGGTGGTGGTGTGTAGTATTAGGGGGAATATGTCACTTATGCCCATTTGAGTTTACTAATGATTAAATAAAATAGTAGCATTATATAGAATAAATGAATTAGAGGAGAAAGAGAAGAAATAGAGTTATCAGGAAAAAAGAAAAGAGGAACAAGGGTTTTGTGAGAGGAGAAGAAGAACAAGGAAATTGCTTCTAGTGCCAAATTTCCCAGAAATTCGGTTGAAGTATCTTAAGAGCTGCACTCAATCCAATGTAAGAGTGGGGTTCTGACTCTATAATAGGGTATTAATTGATAAAACATGTTTAGATTGAAACCCCTAATTTTTATGGATTAAAATTATTAGGTTTGAAGAGTAATCATTGATATATATTAATGAAATTGAGGACTTGGATACATATGGGTTTCTTTGTTAGGAATCATAGATGGACATAGGCAGTGCATCACATGATGGTATATATGTTTTGTTGGAATTAATCAGGTACTATAGCGTCACTTCCAGAAACATATATATTGTATCACCATGTTTAGAAAACAAAAAAAAAATGGTATCAACTTGATAGATATAATATCTTGGTATATACTGTAGCACAAATTGAGAATCACGTTACATAATATAATATATATTAGTTTATTTGTATGTTTAATAATAATAATAATAATAATAATAATAATAATAATAATAATAATTATTATTATTATTATTATTATTATTATATTAATAAATTTAGTATTATTAATATACTGATTTAAGAGTTGAGTTAGAAATAAGTATTTGAATAAATAGTTAATTTGGGTTAATTTCTATTCTAATAGAATGTCAATTGAGTTGTCAATAGAATTGTGAGAGTTGTTAATAATATCGTTAAAATTATCAATAGAGTTGTTTTAAATTATTAAAAGTCACTTTTATTTGTTTTGCGTAATTCCGACATATTTAGAGTTGTCAGTAGGGTAAGTTGAAGTGTCCAAATAATAACACATCTTTACTAAGTTATTGAAATTTTAGTCATGAATTTTTAGTTAAATTCAGTAGCAGGAAATTATGAATTATCTGTACCTTTTGTCGGTATATACACCTACTGTAGACTAGGAATTAATTAGTGTAGGATAGCATTGTAGCATATCATGTATATGCAATATCTTTTTTTATAGATATGACCACTTGGAAGGTTAGTGTAATATTGTTTTAAACTAAGAATCATGTTCAAGTATATATATATATATATATATATATATATATATATATATATATATATATATATATATATATATATATATATATATATATATATATATATATATATATATATATATATATATATATATATATATATATATATATATATATATATATATATATATATATATATATATATATATATATATATATATATATATATATAAAATAGGTCAATAGTATAATTTAGTATTATTAGTATGATAATATTGTAGAAGTTTTATAAGTAGAAATAATAGAATTTTGTCAGATAATTAATTAATCGATTTTAGTCAAAATAGTCAGAATAATTATGTGATTTATTTGTAGTAATTTTTAGTTGATCTGTTGGGTGGTGTTTTTGTTAAAAAATGTGATTAGCAGGTGATTTTATTACCTCAATTTATGGGCAAAATATTAAGTTGTAGGCTTATGGCCAATGTTGAATTAAGTTGAATTATTGTTGTTGCTGTTGTTATTACATTCATGTCGTTGATGCATACATAGCAGATTATGTTGGAGCTGATGCTCGTCAAGTTGGCCTGGATTGGCAAATATAAAGTTGAAGGCTTATGCCTTGTTGATGCCTTTATTTATTGGCATATTTCTAAGTTGGGAGTTCGTCTCCATTGGTACCACATGCATGTGCATAAAAACAAGTCGCATTTCTTGTTATATCCTGAGTTATCGTGTGGAGGAATTAATTATGTTAAATGTTGATAAAAAGTTGTGAAGTGGTGAATTGTATGATCTAATACTAATATATTATTTATTGTATATTTGATTATATGGTTAGATATCTCACCTCTTCTGTTTGAATGTTTCCCTCTGTTGGTAACGTGCAGGTAATCAAGAAGGATAGTTGTTACCTTTGTTAGTTCGAGTCGGTGTTGTCGCTCTGATACGTAGCACTCGGGGGGATGAACGCATGTTTTCCTTATTGTTGATTTTCATTATGTTGCTGAATTTTTAAGTTGTTTTCATTAAAGACTTATTGTCTTAAAGTTGTTTTGAGTTGGACAAGATGTTATGGTGTTTTCAGTTGAATTTTGTGAATTCGCTACGTAGTAATGAAAGTTGTTTTATTTTTAAAAACCAAACAGGTATGAAAGTTGTTTTATTTTTAAAAACCAAACAGGTATGAAAGTTGTTTTATTTTTAAAAACCAAACAGGTTGTTATCGGTTCATCCGAATTTCATGTGTTATGTATCTGAACTATATATGATTGAATGTCATGGTTTTAAGTTGAAAGTGTAGCATTCCATTTGTTTGTTTGAAATTTTTATAACCCTGATTTTATTTAACTCGTTGGGTAGAAATGAGGTGTTACATTAGTGGTATCAGAGCAAGTCGGTCCGTCTGGTCAAGTTATCGAGTCGTAGTTTTGTCTAACAATCGAGCATTGTTAATCTAAATACTAATTGTTGTTTATATTGTAGATATAAGTTGAGATGGCTGGAAGGAATGATGTTGCACTTGTTGCTGCTCTGCAAGCGATGGCTCAGGCTATGCAGAATCAGCCAAATGCTGACGAGAATGCTAGATCTCGCAGTTTGACGACCTTCAAAAGGGAGAATCCGCCTACCTTCAAGGGTAAGTATGATCCTGATGGAGCATTGGATTGGCTGAAAGAGATTGAGAGAATCTTTTGTGTGATGGACTGCACTCCAGCGCAGAAGGTTTGTTATGGTACTTATATGCTAGCGGTCGAGGCTGATGACTGGTGGCAATAGAGACTTGTCAAAGATTGGAAGCAGCGGATGAGAATGTCACTTGGGCTGTGTTCCGTAGGGAATTTCTGAGGAAGCATTTCCCTGAAGACATTTGTGGTAAGAAGGAAATTGAGTTTCTTGAGCTGAAGCAAGGGATTATGTTGGTTGTTGAGTATGCTGCAAATTTTTCTGAGTTGGATAAGTTTTATTTGCACTATAGTGAGGCAAATGCTGAGTTTTCAAAGTGCATCAAGTTTGAGAACGGGTTGCGCTCAGAGATCTAGAAGGAAATTGGATACCAGGCGTATTTGATTGATAATTGCAGGATTTATGAAGAGGA